CCACCTTCAGCATGCCAAATCCAAGATTATCCAATCTTTCAAATTTATTACGAAAAAAAAAAAAAGGAATCTACGCTCTCTTATAACCCCTTAATACAGAAATGAATGCTTGTTCTATAAATTCATGTATGCACCTTGATCCTTTTCAATCCTTAATATGAAAATGTCTGAAGCATAACACAGTAAAGCCCATTGATATACTGTATGAAGCATATCTCTCCCTCACAAACATCCACACACTGTTCTCCACAGACTGAAGCACAGACAACAGGAAATGTTCAAGACGTGCACCAGAGAGGAGGGTCAGAGTTCAGCTTTTTCAACTTGCTATTAATGTATTTTGTTTTCAGTTTCATTAGTCCGTATTCATAAGTAGAGTTTACTTCTTTTAAGAGCTGTAATTACTTTTTATCTTCTAATAACTGTTAAGACTAACAATAGCCCAAAAACATACAGGTACATTTTTAGTAACGTGCATAGTATTCAAATAATGTGTTAAATATTGATGTAACACAGCATCCTAAGAGAGAGAAAGAAAGGATAAATATCTCAAATCTAATAAGGCTTTATTTATTTATTTATTTATTTTAAAGTAACATTTTAGCTGATCCATTGATTTTATCCTGATGAAGATGATGCTCTTTTTGTTTGAAAGAGTCATTTTGTTATTTTTTTGACTAAAACTAGTTTTGGCATTGTAAATACATTAAATTTTGGCTGGACATTCTTGAATATATTGCTTTGCAAATCCGTTTTGCTTTTATGTTGATTTTCCCTGAATATGGAAAAAGAAATTGCATTGTTTTTCTTATTAACACCTTATTTCTGTTAGCCATGTACCATATTCATAAATATACATTTGCATATTGAAAACCTTTTTTGGTCATCCAATATGTCTAAAACCCACTGTCTAAAATATAAAAAATTATGAGAACTGTTGAGGGCTTGGGTATCAGTTAAGACTAAAATATTTGTGTATGATGGGATTTTTATGACACTTTCACTGATTTTTGGTGCACTTTGAGTGTCTATGCACCTTATGAACCTTATGTTTAGTTAATTCTATTCAGTGCCTAATCAGAAATCTTACAATATCAATTCACAGTACTTTAACCCTACGAAAGCAAGTTGTGTCTCAAAGCAACAATGGTCATATTAATCAGATAATTTTTCTTTCTTTCTTTCTGTTTTGATGCTAACCAATTAACCAAGTTACTTATAATCATATAAAAATTTTAAATTCCATTCTATATGGTAATATAAATATAATAACACCACATAAAAACACAAAGATATATCATGGCTTAAAGTAAATAATTATGCACTGATATATTTAAATGAATAAATCTAAACATTCTAGTTCCTTCTTAATGTACTATAAATTTGAATATTGAAAAAAAAACTGCACAATTGTGATAGATGTAGTAGGTAAGAGTATGTGTGTATAGATGCATATATGGTTCCCAGCAGACAGCATGAGTTCAATTTAATTAAGGGTCCCAAGAGGAATGACTTCATCTCTGAGCAAGAGGGGTCTCCACTTACCCCCGTTTCCCTTCCTTCCTCATGTCAATCCCAGTATACGACAGAATTTCATCTGAATCAGTCCTCAATATCACTAATGCATATACAAAGGTCAACATGGGACAATCATGCAGAAATACAACCACAATCATAAATCCTGTTTCTCATTCAGTGTGTTAAATGTTGGTGGTGCTGCAAACACCACTACAGCACTTTTCTAAAGTTAATGCAATTTTCCTGATCCAATTTTCCTCATGCAATAATAAATTAAGGTTGAATTTGAGGTAAATTAGTCTATCATTTAATAAAACCACATGTATATAATGAGAATCCCTGAGTTCTTATAAAAGTGATTGAAATAAATTGGAAATGGACGAGATGGTTATATTCGATTTGATTAAAGGTGGGGTAAGCGATTTCTGGTAGCCAATGTTGACATTTGAAATCACCAAAACAAACACGCCCCTACCCCAAAAGGGTCTCGCCCCTATTTTGATAGCTCCGCCCCACACATACGTACGCAACCCAGGCAACGATTATTTCTGTGAAACAAAACAAAACCAATGTTACACCATGTCTACACTGGACGCGAGTGGCGCGACAAAATACTATAGAACTCATTATAATCAGTGATGCTGTCTACACCATAGATATATATATATATATACATATCTATGGTCTACACTTGATGCGGCGTGGCGCGACACGACAAATCCCCGAAAAAAAACTGTTGCTGCGTTCTATTTATGACGTATTGACACAAATTTCAAATGATTTTCAACGGTCGCTTTGTCGCGTCCAGTGTACTAGACAGACAGCTGTTGTGGCGCAGCCTATCGAGAAGAAACAAAGCAAACTCGGTGTACGATCGCAGGCCTTCCCCTCCTTGAGTTCTCTCCAGCGCTGATCCGATATTTACACAGGTCCTACTTCTTGCCTTCTTTTGTTCCGTAGACGTTTCCCTCTTTTGTTTTTTATCCGCCATCTCTATCTTTCTGTTGCTCGGCTCGGCTAATGTCCGTCCTGTGCTGTGCACTGAACGCTCTCTCCTCCACATCATGAGTAGACACGCCCCTTACTGCTGATTGGCTACAAGTTTGTTTTGCTACTCGGCCTGAATCAGTTTTCTAAAGCGTTTCTGAAAAATCACTTACCCCACCTTTAAAGTTGTTGTAAACTATGCTAGCTGTTCAGCAGGCTTACACACTCCCCATTCATACAATTTATTATTACAGTTTTATTTTTATTTATTTATAAATTAATATTTGTGTGTACAGTTAAAGGAGACCCGATTTCTCACAACGCTGATGTCTTTGGCGTATAGCATTTTTACCTGCCAAGCAGAAGCAAAGCCAGCTCAGAGGGTGCATCTCCCTCCAGCGATAAAATGTTTTGTTGTGCTTTTTTGCTCCCATCGTCTTTTGGCCTCTTTATCTCTTGATTTGCTATATTTTGCTATATCAAAAATATCTGCATAATGCATATGGTGACAATTATTATTATTGTAATGATACACTGTCCTTATAGAGCACCCTTGGGGGCATTTCACTTAAAGGGATAGTTCACCCAAAGAAGATATGAGTATGGAAAAAAAGTATGGAGTATGGGGGGAAAAAATACTATGGAAATCAATGGCTACTGTCAAATGTTTGGTTACACATATTCCTCAAAATATCTCATACAGGTCTGGAACAATTTGAGAGTGAGTAAATGACAGAATTTTCATTTCTTGGTGAACTATCCCTTTAAGTGTGGAGTACTGTATAGGCCCCTTAACTAAATATTTACATGATATTTAATCAGAACAAATTTTTTGTATAATTTTCTTTTTAAAAAGCATATTTCCCTTAGGGTTTGTCTTTATCCTGATTTTATACTATTCTTTATTTGGGTAGTATATCTTTGAAAATATCAAACTACTTGCCCTGCAAATCCACTTCCTCCAGATTCAGTTAGTCTGCTCCAAATAATGATTAGGATTGTGAAGGCTGGATTAAATTAAATATGTAAACAAATTAACCTGAAAGATCATGTGTGTGAGGGAGAGATATGGGCTATGGTGTGTATGGTGTATACTTATGCTGTATTGAAGTGGAATAATATTGTTTTATTATTCTGTCTTTTTGAATACATCATGAAAGTATCATGGGAGAGAGTGCAAAACGTATTAATATTTGACCCTTCACAATACTTACTTTCAGAGCAGTGAGCTAATAAAGTGAGACATACACACTCCCTCTTGTTACTCCCTCTTTAAAAAATAACATAGCCCGTCCTGACTAAATTAAAGTTGTCCTTACACAGCCAAGTTAAGGCTGCTCTGTGCCTGCTCAAACTTCAGTGTAAGGGCGCAATGCCACACAAAAGCCAGACTATTATATGACTGCTCAAACCCAACTCAGCCCCTAGTATCAAAGCATACAATTGTAATTCCTGCGAAAATGCATTTATGCCACCTGTGAGCAGCATTAAACAGTCTGTGTAAAGACACCTAAATGCCACTTCAGAAGTGCTTCTGTGCCATCTTTGCAGTGTAAATTTGGCTTTAGACACACTGGCTGTTTTCTTTTGTGCTGCACATATCATTTAAACATATTTGAGATTTAAACAATTATTTCATCATGCACTTATTCTGCAGTTATTATGCAAACAAGCTTGACAGCACTATGATCTCGTCAGTTTCTCTCCAAAATCATATGAAACTTAAGCAGACTTAGTTGCATCAGTCAATTCATTGTTGATGCAACAACAAGTCACAAGGGGGAGCCATTATATAGCTAGGTAGTGCGAGCTGTTGCCCATTTACCATTCAATGATTCTTTCACACAAACTCACAGTGTACTGAGCGGTTGTTGCATCAAGCATACCCCACTGAGAACCGTTAGGACTGCCATATGTCCCATTCACACTAGGACTGCACAACAGACCCTTCTTCTGTACCATTTAATGTGTCTGAATTAATTTGAAATGTATGTTTTTAATCACAAGCCATTTCTTCTTTTTAAAACATATATAAAATCTATTTTAATCGAAATTTATTTTAATAGAAATAGAAATGAAAGGGTAGCTATGGCGAACAAAATTTTGTGATTTCAAATAGTTGTCTAAATTTATAGTGAAAAGCATATTATCAGTGTAAATTGTAGCCTACTTGTGTAGTCTACTTATTCAAGTGTTTTGTCCTTTTGAAATGTGCAATATGTAATCTCTGTTGTTTGTTAAAGTTCTCTCAAAACATTATGTAAATGGGTTTAATTTGCTGTCCTGTAACATACAGGCAACTATGATTAATCATTGTTTACTATTTAACCCACAGAGTAACTTAAATATTCAGGCACATTTACAACTTTCTGTGAATTCTGGGGAATTCAGTATCTGAATGCTTTTGGAATGAATGCTGTGTGCAGTATTTACCAAAAAAAGACCCGCCTCCTGATGCCATTGGCTCGTTCATACCCAAAACCAGATTCTGATTGGACAGCAAATGTGTCACAGTGGACGCGGCCTCTAATACCGTGCGTCAAGAATCGAAACCAAACATGCTTCAAAAGGGAAAACAAAAGAGAGCTTGGCATTTATAACAGAGCGTGAATCATAAATCACTGCTCCTTATATATGAATGAGGTAAGATTTCATTCAAAACTTTTTCTGAATAGCGATCAGCCTGTTTGTTGCTGTATAGGTAACGTTAGGTAGGTGTTTCTCAATGTGACGCGCATTTCATATTTTCCTCAGGCTTGTTGACATAAATAACTGGGTGCCACCTGCCAGCGACAGTGACAAACATTAGTTATTTTAAGTATTAAAGGCCATGTACTGATAATATAGAAGACTTCAAAAGGAACCAACGCGACTGTGCTCTGTTTTTTTTTTTTTTTTTTTCCCTTTTCAAAAATAAACTGACTG